CATCCCTGAACCCATGTTGATGCTGTGTTAAAAGTTCTTTCGCTACAGATGTTCCACTAGCTTTTTTCGCACAATTTTCACCAATAGCTTGCATGGTATGCAGGTTAGGGACACTGGCCTGTAGCTCAGTGCCTCCTGTCTATCCCCCCTTCTTGTTAATTGGGACTACGTTTGCCGTCTTCCAAATTTTTGCCAGTTCACCTGTTACCAGTGATTTGTTATACATCATGGAGAGTGGCAGGCACAGTGCATCTGCTCCTTCCTTTAGTGTGTGTGTGTGTGTGTGTGTGTGTGTGTGTGTGTGTGTGTGTGTGTGTGTGTGTGTGTGTGTGTGTGTGTGTGTGTGTGTGTGTGTGCACCAAGTTGTGTTTGTGGGGGTTGAGTTCTGCCCTTTCGGCCAGCCTCTGAACTGTCAATCAATCAATTGTTACTAACTACAATTTTTTTTCACACACACCAGGAAGCAGCCCGTTACAGCTGACTAACTGCCAGGTACCTATTTATTGCCAGGTAGCAGGGGCATCAGGGTGAAAGAAACTCTGCCCATTGTTTCTCGCCAGCGCCCGGAATCGAGCCCGGAACTACAGGATCACGTGTCTAGCGTACTGTTCTCTCAGCCACCGGCCCCCCTCCCCCCTTCCCCGGTGTGTATGTGTGTGTAAGTGTGTGTGTGTATGTGTGTGTGTGTGTGTGTTTGTGTGTGTGTGTGTGTGGAATTACAAAAAAAACACGCTTTAATAAATAAAAGCACGAATAAATAAATATGATAAGTGGTACAGTCTCATATTACGAGATAAAGTTTTAATGACATTATTTATTATCTTACTACCTGCACCCAGCCATGCGTTGCTGTGACTCTGCAATGCCTGCACGTTGCTGAGCCTCAGCAACCCTCCCCTGCCCCCACGTTATCCCCATCTTTACCCCCTCCCCATCCCCTCGCCCTCCCAACCATTCCCCACCCCCCTGTACCCTTTTCCCTCCCCACAATTACCCCCCTCCCTTGTCCCCTCATCCTTCCCACCATCCCCCCCAGTCCCCTTTCCCCTCGTCCTCCCCACCATTCCCCACTCCCTCGTCCAAAGCATTCCCAAATGATCCGATGTTCCCATCAGAAAATTGGGAACATCAAAGATCTGATGTTCCCATCACTGATAAATAAGAACATATTAAAAACTAAATTAAAAAAATAAAAAAATAAAAAAAATAAACTATACCCACGAAATGAATGGTATGGTAAACAACACAGCTCAATTCCTACACAATGTCATATTAAATAATTAAATAATTAAATCAAAAATAATGAAATCAAAATTAAAATAAATTGAAATCTATGAAAATTCAAGTTATCCAGGCAATCGGAAACATTGAAATGGAATCATAACATATTTAGTATAGCGTGTGTTGCTTTTACTTCCAGCAGATGGTGCTTTTTTCCAAACAAACATAATTTTACCTGTCACGGGTGTGGCATCTGTTCAGAAGGTATTTAAAAACTTGCACGTAATTGAATGGAATGTTGTGTCAAAATTTCAAAGCCATCGGTGAAAAACTTTCGGAGATTAGAATGTTTGTCTGTTGCTTTTACGTCTAACAGATAGAACTGCATAAAAAGCATATTTTTACCTGTCACAGGTGGGACATTTATACAGTAGGTATATAAAAACATGATCGTAACTGAATGGAACGTTGTGTCAAAATTTCAAAGCAATTGGTGAAGAATTTTCAGAGATTAGCGATTTTTAACAAATGAACATTTTCCTTTTTATTTATATAGACTAGCTGTACCCAGCCACGTGTTGCAATGGCTCAACAGTGCATATGCATTGCTGAGCCACAGCAACCTTCCCCTTGTATCCCAGTCCTCCAGACCATTCCCTCCCTCCCCCGTCCCCTCGTCCTCCCAACCATTCCTCACTCTCATGTCCCCTCGTCCTCTCCTACTATTCCCCCCTTCCCCATCCCCTCGTCCTCTCCACCATCCCCCACTACCCATTCCTTTTGTCCTCCCTACCATTCTCCATTTAACTGTCCCCTTGTCCCCACCATCCCCAACTCCCCCATCCCCTCATCCTCCCCACTATTAACCCCCTCTCCTGTTCCCTCGTCGTCCTCACCACCTCCCTCTCCTGTCCCCCTTGTCCTCCTCACCATTCCCCACTCCTTCGTCTGATTCATTCCCAAATGATCCGATGTACCCATCAGAAAATTGGGAAAATCAAGTGATCTGATATTCCCATCACTGAAATATAAGTAAAACTGTTAAAAACATGAAATGAAAAACAATGAAAAAATTAAAAAATAAACTATACATGTGAAATGAACGATACAGTTAACAATACAGCTCAATTCCAACGCAATGTCACACAAAATATATAAATAAAAATGAAAATAAATCAACATCTATGAAAATTTGATTTATTAATGCACTCGGAAACACTGAAATAGAATAGTAACTTATTTAGTATAGCGTGAGTTGCTATTTCGTGCAACAGATGATGCTGTATTAAAAGAAAAGCATGTTTTTACTTTTCACAGGTGTGGCATCTATATAGTAGGTATATAAAAACACGCGCGTATTCGAATGGAACGATATGTCAAAATTTCAAAGCAATCGATGAAAAACCATCGGAGATTACAGCGTGTGTTGCTCTTACGTCCAACAGATGGGGCTGTTTAAACAAATTTTTTTTTTTCCTGTCACAGGTTAGACATGTATATAGTAGGCATATAAAAACACGCGCCTATTTGAATGCAATATTGTGTCAAAGTTTCAAAGCAATCGGTAAAGAGGTTTCGAAAATTTCTCTCATATGAAAAAACACTGTTTAAAAACACCACACGAGAGCTGTCTAGACACCACACGAGAGCTGTCTAGACACCACACTAGAGGTGTCTAGACACCACACGAGAGCTGTCTAGACACCACACTAGAGGTGTCTAGACACCACACGAGAGCTGTCTAGACACCACACTAGAGGTGTCTAGACACCACACGAGATCTGTCTAGACACTACACTAGAGGTGTCTAGACACCACACTAGAGCTGTCTAGATACCACACTAGAGCTGTCTAGACACTCAGACACCACACTAGAGCTGTCTAGACACCACACTAGAGCTGTCTAGACACCACACGAGAGCTGTCTAGACACCACACTAGAGCTGTCTAGACACTCCACGAGAGCTGTCTAGACACCCCACTAGAGCTGTCTAGACACCACACTAGAGCTGTCTAGACACTACACTAGAGCTGTCTAGACACCACACTAGAGCTGTCTAGACACCACACTAGAGCTGTCTAGACACCACACGAGAGCTGTCTAGACACCACACTAGAGCTGTCTAGACACTCCACGAGAGCTGTCTAGACACCCCACTAGAGCTGTCTAGACACCACACTAGAGCTGTCTAGGCACTACACTAGAGCTGTCTAGACACCACACTAGAGCTGTCTAGACACCACACTAGAGCTGTCTAGACACCACACTAGAGCTGTCTAGACACCACACAAGAGCTGTCTAGACACCACACTAGAGCTGTCTAGACACCACACAAGAGCTGTCTAGACACCACACTAGAGCTGTCTAGACATCACACGAGAGCTGTCTAGACACCACACGAGAGCTGTCTAGACACCACACTAGAGCTGTCAAGACACCACATTAGAGCTGTCAAGACACCACACAAGAGCTGTCTAGACACTACACGAGATCTGCCCCTGTTTCCATGTCTCTTTCTGTCTCTGTCTCTCGCTATTTTTATCTCTGTTTCTGTCATTCTCTCTTATAAAAAAAATTTAATTACCTGGCACGGCTCTGAAAGGAGGCCTGGTAGAGGACCGGGCCTTGGGGACGTTGAGCCCCGACATCATGTGAAATGATTACCTTAGCTCTGAAAACTCTTAACAAATATAATAGTTCCTCCACTAATTTTAGGAAAATGGTAATGGCTTGAGAAACCTTTGAAGCTGTGGAAGACTCTTCCGTTTTATACCAATACGGGCAAATTATGAATAGCAGGAAAGTTATGTTAATTTATCTGAGGTCAATAAATAATGAAGTACATACAAAAAATTGGAGATGTGGGCCTGAATGTGATCTGCCACGCTCTTGCCTTGCGAAATCTGGAGACAACGATGAGTTTATGTTCCTCCTCTGAGCTAGACTCTCCATATCTGTCAGTTTTGGTGAGGCTAGCCTCAGGCGACTGGCCCTCCAACTTCGGAGAGACAAACAGAGAAACAAATGGACATTTTCTCTAATTAGTGTAGATATTTATATGTATTTATTTTTCTTTCCATATCTGTTTCCTTCTTTCTATCTTCATATCTCTTTCTCAATATATCTATCTTTATGTTCCGCTATATCTTTCTCTCTCTCTTTATCTATCTATCAGTTTTATCTCTCTGTCATTTTCTCTTTCAATCTCTCTCTCTCCCTCTGTCTCTCGATCCCTCTCAGTCCGCCTCTACCTCTGGTCAATTCCCCTCCCAGCATGAGTACAGTTCCTCCTTTACCTGAGTCAACGACCGGACTGCAATCAGTAAATTAATGGCCTTAACGAGCTGGTCGCGTCCGCCACCCATAACTTGGACACCCATAATTATTCCCGGCGGGTCAACTGCCGCTGAATTATGTGGTTAAAGACTATGGTCATAATCCATTGGACTAGCCACGTGTTAATGAGGTTCCCATCACGCTCAAATAGCGTTAAATTGCATCAAATGATTTTTTTTTTGGGTGGACGAACTGGAATCAACAATGCAAGAGAGTTCAGCAGGCGGGAAACCAACTGATTTATGTGAGTTTTTGTCGTGTACTGGTTGAAATGTATGGGTTGTTAGTTGATTTATGGGTTGTTAGTTGATTTATGGGTTGTTAGTTGATTTATGGGTTGTTAGTTGATTTATGGGTTGTTAGTTGATTTATGGGTTGTTAGTTGATTTATGGGTTGTTAGTTGATTTATGGGTTGTTAGTTGATTTATGGGTTGTCTCTTGTCAATTGAGGTACGGCAGCTTCCGTGTATTGTTGAGGTACGGCAGCTTCCGTGTATTGTTGAGGTACGGCAGCTTCCGTGTCTTGTTGAGGTATGGCAGCTTCCGTGTCTGTTGAGGTACGGCAGCTTCCGTGTCTGTTGAGGTACGGCAGCTTCCGTGTCTGTTGAGGTACGGCAGCTTCCGTGTCTTGTTGAGGCACGGCAGCTTCCGTGTCTTGTTGAGGTACGGCAGCTTCCGTGTCTTGTTGAGGTACGGCAGCTTCCGTGTCTGTTGAGGCACGGCACCTTCCGTGTCTGTTGAGGTACGGCAGCTTCCGTGTCTGTTGAGGTACGGGAGCTTCCGTGTCTTGTTGAGGTATGGCGGCTTCCGTGTATTGTTGAGGCACGGCAGCTTCCGTGTCTTGTTGAGGCACGGCAGCTTCCGTGTCTTGTTGAGGTACGGGAGCTTCCGTGTCTGTTGAGGTACGGGAGCTTCCGTGTCTTGTTGAGGTATGGCGGCTTCCGTGTATTGTTGAGGTACGGGAGCTTCCGTGTCTTGTTGAGGCACGGCAGCTTCCGTGTCTTGTTGAGGTACGGCAGCTTCCGTGTCTTGTTGAGGTACGGCAGCTTCCGTGTCTGTTGAGGTACGGGAGCTTCCGTGTCTGTTGAGGTACGGGAGCTTCCGTGTCTGTTGAGGTACGGCAGCTTCCGTGTCTGTTGAGGTACGGCAGCTTCCGTGTCTTGTTGAGGTACGGCAGCTTCCGTGTCTGTTGAGGTACGGCAGCTTTAAGCCTTGTAGTGAAGGGGTCAACTGGCAGGCAAAACTATTCGTGTGTTCCACTCACTACGTCATGTGTTTCACTCACTACGTCGTGTGTTTCACTCACTACGTCGTGTGTTCCACTCACTACGTCATGTGTTTCACTCACTACGTCGTGTGTTCCACTCACTACGTCGTGTGTTCCACTCACTACGTCATGTGTTTCACTCACTACGTCGTGTGTTTCACTCACTACGTCATGTGTTTCACTCACTACGTCGTGTGTTCCACTCACTACGTCGTGTGTTCCACTCACTACGTCGTGTGTTTCACTCACTACGTCATGTGTTTCACTCACTACGTCGTGTGTTCCACTCACTACGTCGTGTGTTCCACTCACTACGTCGTGTGTTCCACTCACTACGTCGTGTGTTTCACTCACTACGTCGTGTGTTCCACTCACTACGTCGTGTGTTTCACTCACTACGTCGTGTGTTTCACTCACTACGTCGTGTGTTCCACTCACTACGTCGTGTGTTTCACTCACTACGTCGTGTGTTCCACTCACTACGTCGTGTGTTTCACTCACTACGCCGTGTGTTTCACTCACTACGTCGTGTGTTTCACTCACTACGTCGTGTGTTCCACTCACTACGTCGTGTGTTTCACTCACTACGTCGTGTGTTCCACTCACTACGTCGTGTGTTTCACTCACTACGTCGTGTGTTCCACTCACTACGTCATGTGTTTCACTCACTACGTCGTGTGTTTCACTCACTACGTCGTGTGTTCCACTCACTACGTCGTGTGTTTCACTCACTACGTCGTGTGTTTCACTCACTACGTCGTGTGTTTCACTCACTACGTCGTGTGTTCCACTCACTACGTCGTGTGTTCCACTCACTACGTCGTGTGTTCCACTCACTACGTCGTGTGTTTCACTCACTACGTCGTGTGTTTCACTCACTACGTCGTGTGTTCCACTCACTACGTCGTGTGTTCCACTCACTACGTCGTGTGTTCCTCTCATTACGTCGTGTGTTCCACTCACTACGTCATGTGTTTCACTCATTACGTCATGTGCTCCACTCACTACGTCGTGTGTTCCTCTCATTACGTCATGTGTTCCACTCACTACGTCATGTGTTCCACTCACTACGTCATGTGTTCCACTCACTACGTCGTGTGTTCCACTCACTACGTCATGTGTTTCACTCATTACGTCATGTGCTCCACTCACTACGTCGTGTGTTCCTCTCATTACGTCATGTGTTCCACTCACTACGTCATGTGTTCCACTCACTACGTCATGTGTTCCACTCACTACGTCATGTGTTCCACTCACTACGTCATGTGTTCCACTCACTACGTCATGTGTTCCACTCACTACGTCATGTGTTCCACTCACTACGTCGTGTGTTCCTCTCACTACGTCGTGTACGTCACAGGAAATTAATTATCATTAGTGTGAGAGTTATCCTATTTCCTATAATCAGATCTATCCTTGTCATTACCGTAATCCTTACTTCTTCTATTTTTGTTATTATAATCATTAAAATACTATTATTAATTTTATTAATCATTATAATTATTTGGTATTTCTTTATATTAATATAATTTTTTAATTGTTCTGAGTTTTGGAAGCTAAAACTGCATTTTTCTGTAGTTATCTGTAGCAATGCAGGAATTTTACATATTTAGTATATACCATTATGTGTTCCCCTGCCACACAATGGAAGGATTTTTCAATTATTGAAGTGACAATATGGATTAGTCGCCATGCAGCCAGTTGCTAAAATGCATTTAATCACTTCAACTGATCATACTGCAGAGCTGGTGAGGAGGGGATGGCAGGATAGGATAAAGATGGAGGGTGTCTTCAGTAGGGATAGGGATATAAGGTAGAAGGGGAAGGGGAGAAGGGGGGGGGTGCTGGTGCAGGGGTAGTGGCCCAACCACTTTGTATTTGTGGGTGATAATGAAACAGTGAAATGAGATGATGCTTTGTGTAAGTTGTGATGAGTGTGTAGTGTGTTGGTATGCACTGTGCTTGCATTTTTGTTTATCCTTCCTGGCCCCCATTGGTGTATCTCAGAGGCTGTGTGGGGAAGATGGTGTTGGTTGATGGTGTCGTGTGGGTTATTCAAGAGGGCAGTGGTTTAATGGTTGGTCCTAGTATCTACACTGTAGTTTCGATGGGGATAATGAAGAATTAGTTTATTAGTTGGTACTACGTACATAATGGAACTGGTGATTCCCCTTCTTCGTGTGGTAGGTTACTTTGTATCTTGTGATATTTTGCAGAAGTGCCACGATCTTCTCCTATGAAGTGGTTTGTGGATGTCGGAGTTTGGTATAGTGTTGGTGTCTTGACATGTATCCAAATCACCGAATAACAGATTTGGTGATTTGGATACATGTCACAGATACATGGTGACTTAGTGTAGTGTTGTCAATTACGAAAGGGTCTTAACGGTGTGGTAGGTAGATTTTCTTCACTTTTTTGTAGAGTTGGTTGAGTGACTGTGTTGATATATATGTTCAATTGTTCCATCTTCAGCCTTTGCAGGCGATGAGTCGCAATAACGTGGCTGAAGTATGTTGACCAGACCACACACTAGAAGTTGAAGGGACGACGACGTTTCGGTCCGTCCTGGACCATTCTCAAGTCGATTGACATTCTCAAGACAATCGACTTGAGAATGGTCCAGGACGGACCGAAACGTCGTCGTCCCTTCAACTTCTAGTGTGTGGTCTGGTCAACATCTTCAGCCTTGTCTGGAGACTGTCAGTGCCTATTCTGTTATTGATTCACAAAACTCTTTACTGTGTTCTGAACATGTTGCAGTTTTAGTATGTTTGATTTGTTTGTTAGATTATGCAAGGTGTATGGGTATTCCAGGGAGAGGTGTAATTAGCATTATGTCCAGGTATAGTTTCACACGCGGTCGAGTGTGTTTGAATTTATAGGGAAGTGCTAATTGTGCTTTGGCCATTGATTTTTTTGGTTTATGTATTCAGTGGAATTCAGCAACATTGATATTTCGTAGCCAAAGAGGCTGTTTGAGTTCTGGAAGCGTATCAATGCACCACCAATGTTAATGACCATTAGTGAACTAGCCCAACCGCCTATTGAACAGAGCTTAATTATGCTGAAAGTTTTCACTGTTTTGCATTCTAGTTCCCATCTTGTGTTTGCTAGTTCTTCTTTTGACATTGTAATGACTACGTCGTGCTTTGTTCATAGTCTAGCTGGCGACTATATTACTAAATGAACAACATCTTTGGAGAATTGGGAGATGACGGTGTCATTATCCGTGGGCAGTGACAGATCATTGACGAAGCCGGTAAAGAATTTCAGAATTTTGTTAATTTCGGGATTAAGAGCATTGAAACTGCTATTTTCGTGCTCTGAAAACATGAGTCTCTCTGTCACGTTCCACATCTCTCGTCTCCTAATTAGTTCTTGGGGGAGGGGCTTGGAGAGACGCCAGACACAGTCAGAGAGTCAGCATGCACGGATACACGGCGTGGAGAAACCCTAATGCATTTATTATGATAAACTGACATGCACTCTAACAGATTAAAAACAACAAAAATAAGGAGTGCTGAGTGACATAAGGAGTGACAATCGACTTGAGAATGGTCCAGGACGGACCGAAACGTCGTCGTCCCTTCACCTTCTAGTGTGTGGTCTGGTCAACATACTTCAGCCACGTTATTGTGACTCATCGCCTGCATAAGGAGTGCTGAGGTCTGAGGGAAGGGAATGATCAGGGAGAAAGCGTCAAGCCATTACGACTATATAGCACTGGGAAGAGATCAGGATAAGGAGTTGGGATTGAACGGAGAAAGGGGAAAGGAATGCTGCCCGACTACTTGTGGACGGTCGGGGATTGAACGCCGACCTGCAGGACGCGAGTCTGTCGCTCCATACCGGCCTGAGGTCCCACCTAGAGTCCAGACTACCTGTGAGCCGAGGGCCAGATTCACGAAGCAGTTACGCAAGCACTTACGAACCTGTCCATCTTTTCTCAATCTTCGGTGGCTTTGTTTACAGCTATTAAACAGTTAATGAGCTCGGAAGCACCACGAGGCTGTTTATAATAATAACAACAGTTGATTGAATAGAGTTCATGCATGTAGACTGTTAAATAAATGTAACCAAAGGCGTCAAAGATTGAGAAAAGATGTACACGTTCGTAAGTACTTGCGTAACTGCTTCGTGAATCTGGCCCCTAGTCCATATCAAGTTTTCTAAATGAGCCTCCCCCCCCCCCCCTTCCCATTCGCTGCCCAAGTTTCGTATGGAAGGTTTACCACATTTAGTGATGATATAAAATCTATTAGAATATTAAGAAATACAAAAATACTGATTAATCGATTGGTTTAGGTACCTGCCAGAGCTCTGCCTAACTAGATGGTTCAATAATTAGGTCCAGCATAACTTACTGACTTGTTATTGCTATGAACAGTTATGATTTGATTAAGATATCTGCAATATCATTAGCGAGCAATAGTTACTCGTTATACATCAGTATCATATCATTAACATGATAATATTGAAGAATAATTAAGTTGATTATTCTTAAGTAATCTTATTCCATGATAACTGTAACAAAATAATAATTAATATTCTTGATAACTATTCCTCAACTTTGTAAGGATTACATGAAATTTAACTGGGGGTTGATAATTATAATTGATATTTTCAGATATGAATCATAATTACTGAGATAACAGCAGAGTCAAAAGTTACTAACAGCAATTTGTTACGACCTCCAACAGCAAAGGGAATGGTTAATGACTCTATCACCTAAATTGGCCACTCAAGTAACTTGCACGTTAGTTCTTATGTCTGTATATTCCGATGTCTATATATTCTAATGTCTGTATATTCTCATGTCTGTATATTCTCATGTCTGTATATTCTCATGTCTGTATATTCTCATGTCTGTATATTCTCATGTCTGTATATTCTCATGTCTGTATATTCTCATGTCTGTATATTCTCATGACTGTATATTCTCATGTCTGTATATTCTCATGTCTGTATATTCTCATGACTGTATATTCTCATGACTGTATATTCTCATGACTGTATATTCTCATGTCTGTATATTCTCATGACTGTATATTCTCATGACTGTATATTCTCATGTCTGTATATTCTCATGTCTGTATATTCTCATGTCTGTATATTCTCATGTCTGTATATTCTCATGTCTGTATATTCTCATGACTGTATATTCTCATGACTGTATATTCTCATGACTGTATATTCTCATGTCTGTATATTCTCATGTCTGTATATTCTCATGTCTGTATATTCTCATGTCTGTATATTCTCATGACTGTATATTCTCATGACTGTATATTCTCATGTCTGTATATTCTCATGACTGTATATTCTCATGACTGTATATTCTCATGTCTGTATATTCTCATGACTGTATATTCTCATGTCTGTATATTCTCATGTCTGTATATTCTCATGACTGTATATTCTCATGTCTGTATATTCTCATGTCTGTATATTCTCATGACTGTATATTCTCATGTCTGTATATTCTCATGACTGTATATTCTCATGACTGTATATTCTCATGTCTGTATATTCTCATGGCTATATATATATATATATATATATATATAGGGTATAGAAGACCGATGCCCTAAGTCTACATATGTTGACTCACGTGATCACTCTTGATATGATCTAAGCGCCCTATTTTGCTACGTAGTCATGATTAGAGTGTAGTCTGGTGGTGTGGTGTGTAGCGTAGCTTAGAACACCACGAATTAGCGTTAGCTTGATTGAGATTAATAACGCAGTGGCGCTTGCTTGATTGAGATTAATAACGCAGTGGCGTTTGCTTGATTGAGATTAATAACGCAGTGACGTTTGCTTGATTCAGATTAATAACGCAGTGGCGTTTGCTTGATTGAGATTAATAACGCAGTGACGTTTGCTTGATTGAGATTAGTAACGCAGTGACGTTTGCTTGATTCAGATTAATAACGCAGTGACGTTTGCTTGATCCTGTAGTTGAGTACAGATCCTCACTGCATTTGTATCACTCGTTATAGTTAATTCAGACACGATAATGTCCCTGTGATCAAAATAGTGTTCGACACCTGATCATGTACATAAAAGGTTTGAATAGTGATTATGTAAGGTTTTACGGTGTTTGAGGCTGATTACCAGTCTAAAACACACGACCTCCAAACGGCATCTTGTTTACACATAATTCCCGCTCTGGCGGGTGTTTTTGTTTCTTGTTTTTTTTTCCCCTTTTTGCAAGGATTTTCCTGGCGGGTGGTGAATGAGTATCTTGACGTCTATATACCCTCTGTTTGGCTTCCCCTAAGGTCATTGCCTCCTATGTGTGAACGGGATATTCCTTTGTAAAGGATATGAGACGTCATTCGGTCGAGGTCACGTTGCTGTTTCAGTAGATTGTAGTGGGTGCCTGCCTGTGGCTGGCTTGGTTCTAAATATAGCCTCTGAGAGACTATGTGGTTTTGCTATTTGTAGCCTAACATGCCCCTTTGTCCATGTGGCTTATATACATTATAATATATGTTGTTGGATTTATATATCTCTGTGGTGGAAATATTAAATCAACCAGTATTGGGTCTAACTCATTTACTTCTCTCTTGACGTACAGAGAGCATCTGTTCTAGTGTACACTGCCGATCATGGTGTGTTCGCAAGTGCTTGATTGATAGACAACGATTGATTAGGACAACGCGAAAAGTCGCGGTTATTTATGTAGCCTTAAGTTAAGTGCAGAATATTCCGACCTTAATATTTACACTTGAATTAGTAGTTACTTTTCACGTTGAAATCTAGAGCGGCACTTTTCGGAAATTTTATGAAATTGCTAGTTCGAGTATACATGAATTTTTTTAGGTATCGTTCTGTGATGAAAACTGTTCATTTCCGCGATGCTTCAGTTGTCGAAGTGACTTTACGCTGAAGTTCGCCATCCTGTTTCCGAAAACGAATGACTTCATTTTGACATTTATGGACGATAAAAGGGTCGAAATTATTCAGCTGGTGTAAAGAGGGACATACGTCAGGCCCTAAAGCGCCGAACTGTTGGTTTCTGTGAGTTATTCTTGATGGTGGACGTTATAAAGAAGCTTAGTGTTGGGTAGGAATTTTATTGACGTAAATTTACAGAGAACAGTCACATGTGTTCTGTGTTGGAGAGTTTGTATGCACTCAGGGGCATTAGGTCAAGTGCATTATGAACTTTGCTTGTCATTAGAGATGCGAGGTCATGTCTTGACCTTTGTCTGACAATATCAAATAAGACTGGACGGATTCGTAGGAGAGCTAATCGGCGAGTTATTGATTGTTTAAGAACCTCTTGGCATATCCTGGTTATAATTCTAATTATTATTAATACTAACAATATTACCATGATATAACTTCTATTATTACTATTACTACTACTGCTGCTGCTGCTTCTACTTCTACTACTACTATTACTACTACTTCTACTTCACACACAATCGACTTGAGAATGGTCCAGGACGGACCGAAACGTCGTTGTCCCTTCACTTTCGAGTGTGTGGTTTGGTCAGTACATACTTCAGCCACGTTATTGTGACTCATCGCCTGCACTACTACATCTACTGCTGTTATTATTATGCTACTTCCAGTACTACATCTACCACTAATATAACTACTGATGGTCATATAGTCCGCAATTCCAACAATAATAATGTAATTTATACATTAGCAATTTGCATGCTGTTGTATATAAAATCTAAATATACATTTGTATCCTAAAACATTTATACATTGTTACAAATACTTTCATGGCTATTATTAATAATTTTTCTCTTATTATTTGTTTACGTGTAAGTTATGATATCTCATATGAGTAATAACAGCGGAGAACTGTATACATATGTACTCTCATATGTATTCCAGGGCCTTCGTTCATGTGAAAATGCAATTTAAATTATATAATAGGTTAGATTGTTTTGGGGTATATTACAGAATGCTGAATTAAAGGTTAATTTCCTTATAAGTCAATGAACAAATCCACAAGGGCCGTGACGAGGATTCGAACCTATGTGTGTTCCATGTTAGTCCTTCATGTTGCGATTGCACTGATGCACTGCTTCCTCTGAACAATGTTAAACATTCTTGTTTTTTTTTTGAGTGTTATTGGAAAAAAATAATTTATTGTACGTTAATGAATTAAATGTTCTCGTGCTTGTGGTGGTGGGGGGGGGGGGGGGGGGTACGCTCTATATTAATTTTGTAATTTGCACACACACACACACACACACACACACACACAGAACTGTGTACTGTGTGGAGAACTGGTACTAGAGGAAAACCCAGACATAATAGCCCTCACAGAAACAAAGATCACGAAAACGATAACAAATGCAGTGTTCCCACAGGACTATTATGTTATG